GGGACAAAAGAATTAAGAGAGCGAAAGCTCCCCCTATCAATAAGCATAGGTGAGTATCAAACAAGTATATGGATTGCTCCCCCTATCAAAAAGCCATATAGAATATATGCAATGAAGATCATGGCAAACATATGTGAGTAAGCATAAAAGATATGCTAACAATCACTTACATTCAAGAGATAATGAGAACACATATAAATGTATCATTTAAAACAAATGTCTCATATCAAAGAACATAAACATTATGTATAAAATAGATTTATGAAAGAATACATGAGAATCATGTAAAAAGTTTTCAAAAGAAAACAAATCACTCAAATGAAATCATAAATCAAATTTTAAGTCCAAAAGCAATGTTTGATCAACAAAGAAAACTTTCTTTGAAAAACTTGATCAAACCGTATAAAGAATACATTATAGAGCATATTTGAAATGTGAATTATCTATTTGTGCTATATAATGAATTCAAAAGAACAAATCAAAATAAGATTTTCATAGTTCAAAAATAAGATTACAAAACGTACTAGAATCATGAACTATGGATAAAAAATCTTTTAGAAGTATAAAATCATGAAGACAAAGGATTTGATCAATTAAAAATTTGTTTTCATAAACAATAGATTTTAAGACATAATTTTCAAAACCAAGAGAAGGAAATGTAAGAATACTAAAATTCTTGGTTTAAAATTTAAATTTGTTTTGGTACCCAAGAACTCTTGGTACCAAAAGATTTAGGGACATGACCCCTATCATTTAAGCTCAAAACCTTAGGGTTATGAACCCTCTTAGGTATATGTGGTGCACTAACATGGTCAAAACAATATTCATTCAAATGACCCTTCCGATTGCAATTTGTGCAATGAAAGAGATCCATTTGTTTTTGTGGACCATTAGTTCGTGCACGTGAATCATTTGCAAATAAATATTTTCTTTTAAGATTATTTTGCAAATGTGAAACATTATCAAAACAAAACTTTCCTAAGTGGCCATATCTACCACAAACATCACATCTAAAAACATGTGGTCTACTAGAAGCATTTGGCAAATGAGATTTAATTTTCAAATCAAAACAATATTTGGCCAAATGACCAAGACGACCACAATGATCACATCTATACACATGAGCATGCTTATGATGAATAATGGGTGCATGTGTGTGTTCATGTGATGAAGAAGTTACATGAGATGCACAAGAATGATTAATATTCTTATGTTTTTGTACATCATAACAAAACTTAGCTAAATGACCTTGACGGCCGCAAATAGAACACTTGTAAGTTTTGCTATACATGTGTGGATAATGAGTGGATGATTTTGATTTGGTCTTGGCACAAATGTTCATAAGCTTCTTATGGTTATTAATGCATATTTTCAAAGTTGAATCTAAAGATGAAATACTATTTTTCATAAGATTCAAATCTTCATTTTTAGGCACATATGCATTTTTAGAAGTAGAACATAAATAGTCATTTATAAAAGAAGCTGTATTATTTTGTATGTTCTTTACTTCTAACATGGCATTATCTCTTTCATGAGTTAAACTAGCAACGTTTGAAGTTAAAGAAACATGATCCAATTTTAATTTTTCATTGTTTTCTTTAAGGATCACATTTTCATTAGAAATAGTTTCAAACTTAGATGCTAACAACTCATGATCGGATTTCAAAATTTCATGCTTGCTTTGTAAATTAATGAAATCATTTTGCAATTTGTTAAAGGCATGTAATAATTTTTCACTAGCACAAGCAAGTTCATCATTAGGTAAATCATTTATGGTTTCGAACTCGCAAACCTCACTAGGGCTATCGCCTAGTGGCCGTGTGCATGATGCTCCACATGAACTTGAAGCGGGATCCTCCAAAGCTTGTCGGATCGCCTCCAAGTCTCCTTGATGTGCTTCTATAAATATCCATAAGGTGTAAGCACTATCAAAATGAACAAACTTGTTAGACATAGATGAGTTAAAAGCATTTAACAAATATTCTAACAAAATGTTGTTCATAGTAAACATGCGATGATCATTTTTATTCCACTTGGATTTCTCCAAAATGGGCACAATATAAGCATCATCTATAATTTCCCATAAATCAAAATGTTTAGATCTAACAAATAGTTTAAATCTAACACACCATTGGGCATAGGGGAAATTGTCTAATCTAGGAGCAACACTAGAATCATAGCCTAAACAAGATGCATCATTCATATCCATAATTTGTAAAAATATGCAAGCAAGATACAAATGCAATCAAAACAAGATTAGCACAAAAATATAACTTGGATCTTTAACTCAAGGCGATTAGACCTTAAATCAAAGAGCACCAAGCTCTGATACCAATTGTTAGACCCTAGAGGGGGGGTGATTAGGGTCTTATGCTAATCTAATCCGATTAAATGCCAATTAAAAACTAATTAACAAGTTATCCTAGCAAGTATGAAATATCACAAGATATATGAGCTAGGATAAGCAATGTAAACAATGAGATATATCCTATATGATGAAATATATATATATGCAAGGATATATAAACTAACACAAGGGGTAAACAATGTGAACTAGATTATATATGCAAGGATATATGAACACAAGGGTAAACAATGTAAACAAGATAGTGGATGATATAGATAATGAGCTAATGACAATGGCGATATAAGATATGAACATAAATATGAATGAACGCCAAAGCACACTCAAACAAGCAATATGATCACGGAGTTCGGACCTTCCGTCCTACGTCTCCGCTCCCCACTCCCGGGGAGAAATCC